CGATCAGTGGCGTCGGTCGGCCGGCTGGCACCCGTCGGCGTGCCGGTGGCTTTTTCGGGGGGTTGTAGACGCGTTTTTACACGCGATTGATCGTTCGGACATTGGTTTTAGAATAATACACAGCGGACACGCCGTATACCGCCCCGTCGGAAGCGATCGAACCAACACGCGTACGCGTAAACTGGTTTTTCGCGGACGTTAACCCGTTGTTACAGTCGGAAACGTACACGTTTCCTGGTCAAACGCGCGAACGATCACCGCGACCGTGCACCCTTAAACGGCCGGCAGTTATTGAACGGGACTCGGATAAACGAATACGGATTCGCGCTACGAGACTTACCGGGTGGTGATGTGCCGGTGGTTGTACGCGGCAGCAGCAACTCGCCACGTACGATCCGGTCGGCGATGGACGTGCGACCAGACGGATCGGACACGCGCGTCCCCGCACCGACGCACACGCCGTGGGCCCTTTCGATTATGTACGATTTTTTTTTTTTTCTATTTATTTTTTTTCCATCCGTTCGGTCGGCGCGCGTCTCGCGATCACGTTTCAAACCACGTACAATCGTTTTTTTTTCTCTATTAAAATTTTCCTTGGCTCGCTCGTCACACAACAAGGTATACGAAAAAATAACGGTAATCGTACTCGTGTAATTATTCACAAAACGGTTTTCACCATGATAGTAATGACACGCGGCCGCGCGCCCTCTCGCTCGCTCTGTCTCTTATGTATCTCTTGCACACACTCTTTGTACGCAACGCCGCGGCGAGACACCCGTCCGGTTCACAACATCACAATGTACGCGATCTGGGTACACTACGGCGTCGGTCCGGGAGCGGTGACGGCGTCATGGTCGGTGGCGGCGGCCACTCTTCGGTCCCTTCACTGCTCCGAGGGGAGGATAGTAAAGGTGCGCGCGCAACCGCGATACGTCACCACCATCGCCGCCGCCGCCGCCGCCGCCGCCACCATCACGGACTTTCCGCCGCCTGTACGTGCGTCTCCGTGCTCCGAAATCCTCGTTCCAGCATCCAACGCGCTGGTACGCGAGTCTTTTTTTTTTAATCTTTTTCCTCGTTCTTATGTTCGCCCGGTTTTCACGTCGTCGTAGTTACTCTCGTCAACGCACGTATATACATCCCAGTACACACGCACGTTCCAAAACATTATTTATGCGTACTTGTTACCGTACAATCCTTCGTCTCGACGTTTACGTTGTTTCCGGCAATCGCCGTTAATGCATTAGTGACCGACTAATCAACGCAGTACCGGTGTTTCCATTATTTGCTGAATGTTTTCGTCCAAATGCACAACATGTTGTAACGTTTATGTCTAGAAAAAAATAAATAAAATCTCTTCTGTACCATTGTAAATTGATTCATTATTATGTTTACAAGGAAAAGATGTGAGGATCACTTGGAACTAAATCTTTTCCGATTTCCTGGCTGGTACACCTATTGTTATCGTACTACATTTAACAGGGACATAATTGTGTGCCCATATGACCGTTATGAAATTCTCGTAGAACACGTTGACTTTTGGCCGCAGTGACAGGCTGAAACAGGTATGCTTTACAAAACGTTCATGCAGATATTGGTCTGGCAGATTAGCCTTAAGGTTAATAATAAAGAAATTACTGGTAATGCGATACTATGTCCAAACCAATTCAATTGAATAACGAAAATCTTCATTTTCGATGGTAATTTATGTAATTTATCTGTAACAAATGATATTTAACGGTACTGTCTGATTTGTCAATTGGTTGTAGACATTTATTAGTGAATAATTAATTTTTTCACCCACAATGTATTTTATCGTTACATTTATGTGTTGTAGAGCACTATAACGTGTTATAACATAATACTAATATAATTATGTACGAGTATATAAATTTCGTTGATTCTCTTTTTTATTTACATTATTTCTCAAACCTTACCGACATAATATACGTATAATAACATAATACTTATTATGACTGTACTGCCGCCGCCACTACCGCGTTAATCTTTATCTTAGCACCGAACACGTGTCAGGCCAATTACGTTTCCCAAATCCCTCCGATAGGAATCACCCTCGGAGATGCAAAATTGTGTCACTATCATCCGAGGTCGAATAGCAGATTTAAGTATCTGGAACATAGACAGAATGATATTTTTGGGGTGCGTAAAAAAGTTTGATTCTCTATATCTAACATTATAATCTTTTATAATAATAAGCAATTTTTTATATTGTTTTTGTGCATTTTTCTCTTTTACTTACATTTCAACTAAGAGTATTTTATTCACATTTTCATTATAAAGCATTACAATTTATTGGCACGTAAGCACAAAATCCACCATGAGAAGGAGATTAAAACCCCATATACCCAGTTTGGATACGCGCCTAGGAAACACACGCGTAACCGCAAACACTAAAAGTATATTGATATCGGAATATCGACTTCGTAGGATATATGTATCATTATTTTTTTCGATTCGGTTATTGCGGATAATATTGTAATTATTACTAAGTTACTGCATGTATGGAACACTTTGTATAAAGCTGTTGAAGACTGAACTTTCGTATAGCACTGAATAGAGAAATATTTATTCATTTTTTTTTTAAATTTATTTCTCTTTAAATAATGTTTAATCCAGCATGTTTTAAAATGCACGCTTAGTTTATACAGTATAAACGAATAATTACATTGTGTAGCTAAAAAATTTATAAAATGATGTACCTATTGTTTGAGAAAATGAATTTAAACTAAAAGAGATGCATATCATGCACGAGATAGTAAATGATTGGGTGGAATTTAGATCCAAGTGCGTACAAAGTGCATTGTTGTGTAAGTCATTCTAATCTGAAGAAATGTTTGTGTAATATAATTATCCCATACCTATAAAAAATGTTATTCAGCAATGTAGTATTATTATGTTTTTTCTTAAAATATAATTATAAGTATACTATACTTAACTGTACAAAATTATCATGAAAACAAGATGTGTTATTCAAACTTTAAAGTCTTTTCAAAAAATTTAACTCTGTTATATTTACTAATTTACGTAAATATTTAGCCCAATGTTTTGTTTGACATAGCGTTTTTAAGCGCTGCAAAAAGATACAAAATTAAAAACTTTACCAAAATATTATATAAAATATTTTTCAAGATCTTGCATTCAACATTTTTTATAAAACGACTGTTCGAAAATATATTGATTAAAAATAAATCACAATTGTTAAGGCAATATATTTCACTTTAAATCTAAATAGGTACATACATTTAGTTCGTTAAAAAATAAAAATATACCAGTACTTATATGTATCACATAAGATAGCAGATTTATTATAATTATATATACATTTAATTATTTAAATTAGTTAAAATATAATTTTATTTTAAAATATATTACACATATTAATAACTTATTACCGAGTTCTAATTAATTCCCAATATTTAAGCCAACAGATTATTTTATCAAACGAAATACTTTTATTTCGAACGTTTATGATTTATTAATATGATTTAATATAAACTTAATTTTGGCAGTTATTTATTGAAATTATTGGTGTTTTAAATGACAATTCATATTTATTAGGTAAATATCTACTCTATAATTTCATAAACAATGTCATGTATCTTTTCTTTTAAATTCTTCTTCTAATTCTTCCTCACCTTTATCCCAAATATTTGTCTTAAACCTCCACTCGTCTCTATTTCTAAAAACCCTACGCACATACCAACGACCTTCATATCATTCTCAGTCATATCCAATCATCTCTTTTTCAGTCTTCTTCTTACCTTTTTCTCCCAACATTTATTCTCATAACCACTCTTACTGCTCTCGTCTCATTACATGCCCAAACCATCTCAGTCTATTTTCTCTCGTCTTGTCCACAAACGACGCTACATCAATACTTCCTCTCACATATTCGTTATTTTTTCTATATTTTCTTGTCATTCCACTCATCTACCTAAGCATTCTCATTTCCACAACATTCATACTCTGTTCTATTCTCTTTTCAATCGCCCAATACACCGAATCATATAGGATAAACTACTAGGGCACTACACTCCTGTAAAATGTATCTTTCTTAAAAATGTCATCCATTTCATATATTTCTTTTTAAATCGATTGTTAAAATACTGTTATGTACCTAAAATATTATAAAAAATTGTTTTAAAAAAGACCCAGCAATAATTAAGTATGCATTTAAACGAGAAGAATCTATTCAGAAAGTTGTGGAAATGGATATATATATATATATATATATTCGTATGTAGGAAACTCATTAGTAATTACTATGTATTCATTTCATTATAAATCACGAAGATATAATTAATGTAGCGGCTAATGGAAAGGAAAACTAATATATATGTAGCGTTTGTTAGTAAGTTATTATAATAATAGTATATGAATATGATTTAGTGAAAAATTAAATATTGGGTGTGGTTCAACATTATTAACAATAAAAGCATTAGGTAGGTATAAAAGTTATTAAAAAGAGAGTATTAAAAATAATTATATTTCATACTTTTGTGCACTTGAAAGTATTTTCACATTTCTAAAACCATAAATAACTCTTAAAAGTAAGTAATATACTATTTATTACTTACTTACGTGTTAATAATAGTTGCATATTTAAGAGTTAAATAAAACATCGTGTGTAATATGAATACATTTTTAAATATTTGTAAACATTCTTAAGCTAGATTATGAAAAAATTACCTTACTTCATTAATTATTTTAAATTTTGGTAATTGCGATATGGTTGTTTTGTTGTAACGCATTATTACGAGTACAATTAGTTATTATCTCGCAGAGTTTACTGTTTTCATTATACAATTTTCTATTAGAAAAGTATTGATTATTTATTATTATTTAATATAATATACTAACAATATTTCATTTAAAATACGATTTCGTATTAAATAATCATTAATAGTATACCAAGTTCTATAATTTACATACGTGATTTGAAAATTACCATTTTAAATTAATACGTTAAAATTTCAGATTATATGAAAATAGGTAATTCATTATCTGGTGATAAGTATTTATATTTTTTAATTATTATCTACTATAATTTAAGACGAAAAGTATAAAGATGCCAAAATTGTTTTCTTTAATACCCACTTTATGCTATTTGGCACCATTTAAAGCCCCTAAGTCTCTGGGACTGGTTTTAAAGTACTATTGAATACTTGTTAGACGTCGCTTAACATTTATTAAATTTATTTTACTGTCCTAAACAAGTTACAGAAAGTGGTACCATTTTAATTAAATTTCTAAATTGCATCTAAAACGTCTGATAACGTCTGATAATAGGATTCAATAGTGTTTTAATATCAGTTCAAACCAAGTTGAACTTTTAAATGATGCCACCGTTAAATTAGGACCACTTCTTGTTACTTAATGAGAAAGTTCTTAAACGTTTCAAGTATGCTTTTTAGGAATGTTTGGATTAAGTTTGTTGTATAAGTGTTATTATATATATATGCTTTAATGTATTTTCTAAACTTCTTTAACTAAATAAAAATTTAAAATAAAATATTTAAACATATTTTTCTGCCTACTTATATAAGGCTTAACATGAATAATAATTTTTTAATAAATTTAATTTAATCATTATAATTGAGATAGTAGCATGTGTATTTTCGATTAACTGACTATCTCTGTAAGTTTGATTACTATCTATGAGAAACTTCAAACCGAATCAACTAAAAGGAAACATTTTCCTTTTAATAAAATTAATATGTAATTAATGATATAATCATTTTAAACAACTTTAAGGCACCAGCATAGGTGAAATTCGATAAATTTACCTTCAACTGTACATAATTCACTTGC